TGACTTCGAAACTTAAGTTCTGTAGTTCTTTTTATACCTTTCCAATTGTTCTTTGGTTGGTAGCATTTTAGATGCATGTCGATCAGGCTCTCAAATGTCTTTTCTGCGAGAATAATTGGTTGAACTTGTAGGCAAGGCCTTATTTATTCATCTTTTTCTTCATTATCCTGCACTAGGCTTTACAAGAGCCGCCTTTTCCTTTCATGTTTTATGCCTGTGTTGTATGTAGGTTAAATACTTCACTAAGCTAATGGACTGTACTGTGATCTATACATCTGACCTCACGATCAAGAACGCTACCAGGGACTAGTGCTTTAGTAGCACATTGCTCCCTAGCCATGAAGGAGGTCCGGGTTAAATTCCATGTCAATGCCCCACTAAGCACTGCCCAATCATCTGAAGGCGAAATAGAAGCGTGAGAATGACACTGCTATCTTCATTTCGTATGAACAGCACTACTCTCACCGAAACTTCAATGTCCAGAACCTGAGGCAGTGTATACAGTCGGCAACGCAAGGAAGAAAAGGAACGAAAGGGAAATACTCCGTGGCCTGATATGGCCGTATATGGAAGAAACCGCACGCAAGAAAACACCAAGATATCACAATCCCTTTTTTTAGTGAGATGCACTCATTGCGCTAGTGATTGTCATCAGGGTGAAAGCAGTATATCGTTATCTCCACGATTAACAGATACGAGAGTCCACACCCATTTCATCTGTTCTCACTGATTCCAGGTACTTGCATGCAATGTGTTGTTTCTTTGGCAATCTGAGCTACTTTGCCACCCTAATTTGTCCACGAGTTCCAAATCTTCCTCACTAATTACCATAAAATGGCAGTTTAATACTTCATCTGCGATACTGGGAAATGTAAAATATTGATAATTTGGTTTATATTCGCCATCAATTCCTCCACGCCGTATGGAGTCACGTGTTGCGAGCTGGCAACCAGAAAATGCCCATAACTCTATAGGCCTTTTCTAAAAATTAGTAAGTATAATTACAGACTTTTAAGATTAGTCCTCAGCTTCCTGTTAAGGAATTCCACTAGCCACTTCTTCAGCTTATCTCAGAAACCCTGTAAGGAAAAAGAAGAGCTCATGTGAAGATACTAAGTATGCATCAAATGCTCTGCATCTCTTGATCTCCACACTAGAAGATAGAAAAAAACAATGAATGTTTTACTTGCATAGAAAAGCCTTCCTCATACGTTGTACCAGGATGAAACTCTCCTATAGTTAATTTCTAAGCGTGAACGCGAATGTACATTATCTCAGTTTGATCATTTTTGAAAGTTCATATTGACAAAATATGGAATAAAATCATAGCTTGTTCGCCAAAGTCCTTCACAGTAGATCAGTAGGCTAAGATGAATAGAGCAGTTAAAAATGAAAATACTTCCTCCATCCATCACTTGGAATTTGAAACTATCGTGTGTTCAAGGTCAACGAAAACGCGCTTATTATACCCCAAACAGTATGTTATCACGCCTCTCTGCTGTTTATGAGGATTTCGACTCACACTGCTTAACTGTAGATCATTTAAAGAGAGCAACAGTGGTGGGGCAGTTTGACAAAAGAGTTATTTTGCTCCTTTGTAGAGCAGAGGCCAGTAATGAACAGCGTCTGGATGGATTGACGTTAAGAGGTGAATATAGGAACAAATCATATTTGTTTGGCATCGATCAACATGCAGCGCACGAAAGAATACTTTTGGAGCGTTTCGAAAATCAACATTTTAGCTATTTTCAGTCGATTTCAAATGTGAATGAGAGTGAAAGTGTGACATCAAGACAGGTATCAATAAAACTAACCGGTCAAACATTAGAAGATATTTACCGCAAATTAAAAGACGACCCATCCAAAAAGCATAAGCTTCTTAAGTTTGGTTTCTCAGCTCATATAAAGCCTCATGATCCGGAAAATGCTGTCTATGTCACCAAGCTCCCTTGCATAATATTACAAAATAACTTGCAGGAATGTCATGATAACACAATCATTGCGAACTGTCTAAGAGCTGTATTGCTTTGTGGAAAAGAAGCAAATCACATGATTGCGCGTAATATTGTGTATGCTACCAATTATTTACTGAAAATATGTTTATATTTTGAATCCTTATTTGCTTCAAAACATGTCCCTTTGTGTTATCTTTGCTAACTAATTACACATTTGGCGGTTAACTACCTTCACCACATGTCACTGGTCTAAAATCATCTTAGCAGGTTTTTTAGACTTCTAGTTTAGTTTGTTCATGTAGAAACGAAAGTATAACCTTATGATTTCTGAGAAAATTACGGTGTTCATTTCACCAATACCATGGCATATAGGACTTAAATAATTTGTGACTGAAACTGACATTTGTAAAGGGCTGAGGATAACGAAGTGGGCTAAGTATTTAGGAATCTTCTTCATGGACAATAATACTTCTTAAAATTCAGCAAATGCCCTAAATTTCAAACACAGAATTATTATCTTTCAACTTAATATCAGTATATGTATGAATCTCATTATACGCATTCTGTTAGTAACATGGGATTTATGGTTTACTTGAACTACCTTCCATTAGGCTTTTATAAATAAACTTGCAACAGTAATATAAAGAAGCTTTTATTTCTGGAACGAATCGCAGCGGGAGAGTTAAAGTATGTAGAAAAAAATTTCCTTAAATCCGGAGAGCGCGACAAATTAGTAGGTGCGTAAAGTGATTTGACCTTAATGGCGTGACCATATATTAATTAGATCACTGATTCCTCGATATACAGCTGAAAAAATACGTAGCAAGCTAGGTATTCGTAATCGCATTTCTAAGGTTTACAATGCGTTACTGCTTTTTATTTAATCGAAACTTCCTAACAGCCTTTCAGTTCCACCGGTACAGAAATATTTTCGCTTGACTGTTTTAGTTATGAGATAGGTCATATCCATTTTATTTCAGGTAGTCATCTGAAAACCAAATAGACCATTTTCTGTCGGAGTTTTTTCTGTCTGATAAAAGCATTCGTCTTTTCCTAACGCGTTGCTAAAATCTGTAAGTCTCACTTTTATTCAGATGATGTCACTTTCACGTGATAGAAAAAAACGCTGAAATTATGCATTGTACCAAGTCCAGATGCCAGTGACAAATTAAACCCTAACGGTAATCCGGCAGATGGGAGCTTGTGGCCTAAGTCTATAAACAGATGTAGTTCGCACTTATTGAATAAGCCTAACGCTACGATGGGTACCATATTAGTTTGTTTATTAGATGTATCATACAGTGAAACAGTATTATTTACTGGATGATGTCTCGAACACAGTTTATTGTTCATAATCATTTCATCAATTATAACCGCAAAACTTCGAAACTTGACTTTTATAGTTTTCTTTGTTCTCTCCTGTTTGTCGTCGTTGAGGTAGTAGAATTCCCCAGATATCTGGGTGGACAGGTGTTGAATCATTCCTATTACACGTGTTTGCAGTTGATTCGATAAACAAAGCTTCTGTTATCAATCTCTCCCTCCACCCTGTGACATTAGATTTTAAAACTGTCATCTTATCCCATCCATCCTATTGTGTGGTTGTGTGTAACTGCATGTAGTGATTGGTATAGCTGAACTATTCTCCGAATTTTTTTATCTTATTTGGGTCAACTAATCTAGATTTTGCTAGGTTTTTATGTTCGGCTAGTCTGACTCACTGCGCCTGTTCTACTACTTTGACCTATGTATTTGACCTGACAATCATTGCAGGCGGGGTATTAGATGAACTAAATTGTTTTAAAGGTTCCACAGGATCCTTTAACCGACAAAGCTTGTTTCTAATTGAGTTTGTGGGTTTGAATGCTAGCCACTTTTATTCCTGCCTTGTTAAGAATTTTGCGTAAGGTTTCCGAGGTTCGTTCTTTGTATGGAATTACTACAGATCACTTAGATTTCTTATTGTTGGTGTCGTCATTAATATTATTATCACTATTATTGTTATCATTATTATCACTATCGCTACTATCATTATTTATTTTATTTTTACATTTCCTTACATATTTCCTGACTAATTTATCCGGATAATTATTAAGTTTCAAGGTTTCTTTTATGTGTATCACTTCTTGTCTTAGATTTTCCTTAGTACTGGTTAGTTTTTGTGCTCTGTCACTTAAACATTTCACCAATCCTATTTTTACTGACATAGGATGGGATGATCGGAAGTCCAAATATCCTTTTGAATGTGTGTTTAACTCCCCGTCTTCTTTCCTTTCTACGTTGCAATCTAACACTGAGAGCTACTAGGGGTATCTAATGGCGAATACTCGAAAAATGTGCATAGCACTTAGAACTGAATATCTCTGTAGGACGACCGGATCATATATAGCACCATAACTGGTTTGATTTCAAACTCCAGACTAGTGGCAACCTAAGCATATATGACCTGTATCCATAATTCCCCAAGTTGTTATAAAATTATGGACACCACTCTAGACATTCTCAGTATACGTCGCCAAAAATGAAGCAGTGATTTTATTCAAATTTTAATTATGCTTTCATTCACATTCACCTAAATATATGAAACCAATTTAATTTATAGGCAAGCACTCCGTCCTCTCCTGCAATCTCGCGCTTGTCATACGGCTATTCGTTTTGGACAAAAACTCACTAAAAGTCAAATGCAAGAACTCATATCCAAACTTTCAAGATGTCGTCTGGCTTTTCAGTGTGCCCATGGACGCCCAACAGCAGCTTTAATAAAAGTAATTAAAAACAAGACTAGAATTTTATTATTAAAATCAAATCTGTACACTAAAGAAAAAGGATGTATTAAAATAAATTTTTCACATTGTTAAACATATTTCTTGTTTAAATCTTTCTGCAATATGATACAAAGGGGGTAGCAACAATAACAATTCTTATATTTGCATATATGATAATATACAGAAAGTTTTCTTGTAAAAACTGAAAGTGCTGATTTTGAAGTCTTCAGTTTGAATGGATAATTCGACAGAAGCACTGCAGGATTTTTTATTAAATCTTTCAAAAGGATTTCATCTGAAATGTTTTGCGGAAGTTAATCCAAGTAACAGGGGTGAATATTGCAGTTACTCTGAGTCTTTGTGCACTTGAAGGAGATGCTTGTACACTTGTCACCATGGCGTTTGAGTAGATCCACCTATGAAAACAAAGAATTCGTCTATTTTGACAATAGCTGATAGAAGAAAAAAAGTATACATACACAAATGAAGCTTTCAAACTATTGACTCCTCTTGAAACTAAACACTCTATAATGACGGAGACATGAAGTTTTTATTTTGCAACATTTACCGTAAGCATGGGAATTGTATAACCATAGTTACAAATGATTAAAACTGATTGCAGATACAAGATTTTGTCATTACTCCTCGAATACTAGTTGATGTACAATATACCCACGATAACAGATTTTAGAGTCACCGTAAAAAGTGTACCTCAGGTAGAATATGTTGTCAATAATAGAGCAGCATCAAACAAGCACTAGAGATATCAGTTTTGATAAACGTATAGATTACTGTTCCAATCATAATTCGACAGATTAAATGACATGTATAAGCAATTATGGCATTATCAAGAGAATTAGTTACATATCATCGGCCTAAAGGAACCTATCTTAAAATACACGGAAGGTTGTAGGCTTTACTTTAAGTGTTACATTAGAGTCAAACTCAGTGCCTGCTAAGGACGCTACATGACTGAAGGTTATACAATCGAATACTCTGGTATGTAGAAATCAATGCCCACTTAAGACTACTAAATTCTACTGTACGGTTATTAGAAATGACTATATAAATCGATATACTGTGACAAATTATATTTAATGACCAAGAAAAACTCCGAGGTCTTGATTTTTGTACTTTTTCCATACCCAACTAGATCCATCAAATTCTCAATATACTTCCAAGGAGCTATTCTTTCCGCCGTACATTTCCTTTCATTACAGCTCCCGTTATCATTGTGTGCAATGTAGAGTGTGTCAGCTTGAACTACTGCATTTCTATGTTAAGTTCTGCGTTGAGAACTCAGTCAGTACACAGATTTTTCAAGGTTCCTCGGTTTATGGAGATAGTATTTGCTGTGAGACGAGTCAACTTTTGCTGATACTGATAGCGAGGTAATGTGGGAGATGACAAAAATCATTAAATCGAAGAAGCTTGGAATTACTCAGCCTCTTTACGCAATTTGCTTACCCTTACCAGTGGATTTCGAAATAACAAAGTGTCAAGGACAACTGGAGTTTGAAGGAATATGAGAGTGGTGACTGCATTGTGCACTGGTTATGTTCATTCCTGTAGTTTCTTATGAACCCATACATTCCTTAACAGGAATAAATTTAATATAATCTCTTTACTATTTGTGTGGTATTAGATACAACCTCATCACCATGTTACAATGAACCATGCTAGAGTTAGCTAGTTAAATGCACAACACATAAGTTTACCGCAACGTGTATCTTAGGAGTTGTTGAAACATAAGGGGAACACTAGTGTTGCGAGAAAGCTTGGGACCAGTTACATACAATCTGTATGAAGGGGTATTTGAAGTTGTGTCCGTACTAAGAACTTACCGCCTGCCATGGACCGCCAAAAGGTAAGTCAGGGTGTCCAGTTTCCTTGAACGACCTCTTTTAACCTTTCTCCCCAAAACGGGGAGGTAGCATAGCTGATATGCTGTTACCGCCAGCAGCACGACTTCGATTACAGACCCCCAACATAGAGTAAATGACACACTATCATTGTAACTGCTTTCGGCCTGACCGCTGTTCAGACGACATTTTTAGCGTAGCAGGATCCGCAGGAACATCAGTTCCAGTCGGTGTAACTCACTGGGCCATTGTGACATGCAAGCCCGACCACCACGTCAAGATGGAAGCTATCGTTTGTGACAGATATAGGGGACTCACTGTTCTCTAATCATCTATTTAGATATTAGTGATGGTTTCAACTAACTGACCAATAATATTTTGTACACCATAACAGTTTCTACAGTTAACAACATACATGAAAACTTGTTGCGATGTGCAGTATTGTTTTTCATGTGGATTGACAAGCACTTTAAAGGTACTCGAAGGCGATGAGGTGGAACCAAAAATACAACTAATGGAGTATTTCTGAACAGAACCTAAACTATTACATTTTAGCTGATGAATATTATATACGAACAATGCTTCAGGATACCACATCCATACACTTTCGATTATAAGTCATTGAAGAACAAGATTCCTTATAAATGATTCAATAAAACTGTAAGCAAAGTTTTAGCTACTTGCTACTACAATCAGACTACAAGATATAGGGGAAAATATATAGGATTGATGAAATGTTTAAATGAAAGAGCACAAAAACTAAGTAGTACCAAGGAAAATCTAAGACAGGCAGTGATACACATAAAAGAAGCCCTGAAACTTAATGATTACCCTGATAAATTATTCATAAAATACGTAGGGAAATGTAAAAATAAATGAATTTAGGAAGTCGTGTGATTACCTTGATATGATTATGAGCAATAAATTGTGCTCGAAACGTCATCAGTAAACATTACTGTATAACACTGTGAGACTTTATCAAAACAAAATTTACCCATAATGGAATTACACTCTACCACAGTGCACAAGTTTTATTCTTATATCAAAAATAAATAATAGTAGTGGTAGTGATAATGGTAATATTAATGACGACACCAACAATAAGAAATCTAAGTGATCTGTAGTAATTCCATACAAAGAACGAACCTCGGAAACCTTACGCAAAATTCTTAACAAGGCAGGAATAAAAGTGGCTAGCATTCAAACCCACAAACTCAATTAGAAACAAGCTTTGTCGGTTAAAGGATCCTGTGGAACCTTTAAAACAATTTAGTTCATCTAATACCCCGCCTGCAATGATTGTCAGGTCAAATACATAGGTCAAAGTAGTAGAACAGGCGCAGTGAGTCAGACTAGCCGAACATAAAAACCTAGCAAAATCTAGATTAGTTGACCCAAATAAGATAAAAAAATTCGGAGAATAGTTCAGCTATACCACTCACTACATGCAGTTACACACAACCACACAATAGGATGGATGGGATAAGATGACAGTTTTAAAATCTAATGTCACAGGGTGGAGGGAGAGATTGATAACAGAAGCTTTGTTTATCGAATCAACTGCAAACACGTGTAATAGGAATGATTCAACACCTGTCCACCCAGATATCTGGGGAATTCTACTACCTCAACGACGACAAACAGGAGAGAACAAAGAAAACTATAAAAGTCAAGTTTCGAAGTTTTGCGGTTATAATTGATGAAATGATTATGAACAATAAACTGTGTTCGAGACATCATCCAGTAAATAATACTGTTTCACTGTGTGATACATCTAATAAACAAGTCTTTGTAAGAAAATTATCCCACGATTTCTACTATCGATTAAAACAGTTGGAAAAATACACTAATTATTGTGTAAATCCAATTACGTTACGCTATCTAAAGGAACATTTGAGGTCTATAGATTCACTCGCCCAGCACATAAACACAGTAAAATCAATCCGTCACTGTTATTTCACCACACATAAAGCTGAACAAGTGTTAACTTCAGAAAAAAATATATAAAACAAGGCAAAAAAGACTGAAAATTTGCATCACTTACTGAAGGCAGGAGCCACCTTGACTAATATCTACAGTGCGTGAAAACCATCCAAGACGTTTCATTAACAATGATTGAATTCTCGAAGTAAGCTCATTCATGCCTATTCCACTCTTGGCGGACACTAAGGCGTCGAATCCAGTAGATATAAATTCTGAATCACTGTAATATTTCGAAAAAAAAGAGCATAATGGTGAAAATACTGTTTTAATTATTACCTCGCCTTTATAGCAGTCGATTCATAATATAAAAATCACACAATTTTTGTTGATTGTGATAAATTAGATAGTATCAATATGACACACTGGGTCACTTCAAGGGGATAGTGTCAGATCAAGCTCTTTTATGAAATAGACACATTCACCACCTGTTTTACAGTAAACAGCTAACTCCGTTTTTCCACGAAATGGAAACGTTACAAAGGAGTCAGATATTTAAAAAATATGTGGTCTTAACATAAGTCGTTGTACAGACATTGCTTAAATTGTTTCTACATCTATTTTACTACTCCTTTTCTCATTATTGACTGAAAATACTCTTGAAACGCTTGTTTGTCATAATGTGACGTGTATTACTGACAATATTTATAAGTAGTATATAGATATATACACAAATATGTGTATCATATGCAAGAATAGCGGAGATGGATTTAATGGTGAAGAGAAGAAATGAACGATGCTTGCGAAATAACATGGAAAACATGAAAAGAGGATAAAGAAGCACAATACAGAATGTAAAAGTAGCACAATGAGGAAGACATGTGTAAATTGTGATTTCATTATTTTTATTTTATTTTTGATTACAGCTTGATTCCACACTTTATTTTTGGTACAAGTATGGAATTTTCAGCATGGATATCGGTAGCCCAAATTTTGTAGGCCGATCATAGATATCAGGTGTGTGTCGGCAGGGGATCGAACCTCGGACCATGTGCATGGCCGGCGAGAGTCCTAACCACTGTGCCACCGACGGATTTTGCTTGTAGATGACATCGAGTTGATAAATAAAAAATTTCGCTGTCGAGTGCTCTTATGTTCTGCCGTTGCATTTGGTGTCACTGCCTTCAGATAATGAAGATCCCGTGACCGGCAGCTTTCGAAGGAGACATACGTAGCTTCTTACGGGACTTCGATACTGTTGCTGAATTGGTGGGTGTCCAGGATCCGGCGGCGAGGTTATTTGTGCTGAGGACACTGCTGATAGGTCGCGTAAAGGCGGCATATAATAGTGTGGAGCGGATGGGTGAACAAGACACCTAGAAGTTATTGGTGAAACTATTAGTGGTGGAGTTCAACAGACCGGCGGACAGATAACAAGCAATGAGGCAGTTCCGTGCAGCAACGCCGGGATGTTTTCTACAGATATCCAATGGCAATCAGTACACTATTATAACGTTATAATGTGTTTAAGAGAAGGCAGCTATAAATATAAGTTCCATTGAAAGATTTTTTTCTCCTCTAAAGATGTACGCTGGTAATTTCTTTAGGTGCATACGGTTAACTGACATTCTTATCGAACAAACCAACTAATTATTTTCTCTTTTCTATTCCTTTGCATTCTCAGTGGAGCATAGGGCTTCAAGCTTCAGCTCTGGAGTTTCAACATTAGTAGTTTCGTTTTACGGAATGGGGTTGCCCAGACTTCCATCTCTACTGGGATTACCGCAGGCTACGCGAGGTTAAGTTATGCGTCAGCCTGGATTCGAACCCGAACCATTATGCATGGTTGGCAAGCATCGACCTATTTGATGCACTAGGCCAACTGACGGCAGACCAATGAATTTACAAAAAAAAAAAGTTTAGAGCTGACTTTTCAAACAGAATCTCGAATAGTAAATTTGTCAAAAATTATTAACCAAAAAGTTTACAAAACTTTTTTTTACTTTCCTTACATTCGATCAATTTTGTTTCCAACTCTTAAAATTTTAGGAGGTACATCGAGGGCGTTGCTATTATCATCAAGATTATCAGATTGTTCAGTAGGAATGCCAATATCTTTTAATAGTTCCTCGACATGATTACTATGTGAATTCCATTCAGGTTGACTAATATCAACAACATGAAGAATTAGATCCTGTAATTAAAAGATGAAGTTAATATAACAAATAGAACTCTGGTGTGTGCCACTGACAAGATATATCAGAAGTACGTGAAGACACGTTCATCGACACAAAAATATCAAATAGCAGAGAGATATATTTGATGTCAAAGAGAGCAAAAGAGCCAGTGTTGCAGCCAAACATGAGAGACACTAAAATAAGACAAAGAAATACATTACGAAGGGCAGAAGCAGCACAACACGAGAGATCTGTGCAAACGACGATTTGCAGATAAGGTGTACATAATTTCCCTATATATTGTGTGTATCAAATTCCAGATAAACATTCCGTTACCAAGTCTCTTGTCTTCTACTGTTACAGAACAACCCTGATATCAATTAGAAAACTTTTGGAAAACCGGGTAGTACTGGACAACTGTTTCGTCCTAGTTTTGGAGACTCTTCAGTAATACTCACCCCGCCACTGGGGTTAGAACCAAGGACCTCCTGGTTACTAGCCGAGCTCATAGACCATTCAGCCAACAGAATGTGATCCATGAATCGTAACTGCCAACAATTCGCAATATATATATGCCGCAAAAGTTAGCCAGTGTCGTTGACAAGTAAGTGTTCCCTTATTTGGCTAGATGAACCCCGCTGGTTACGACTTCTCACCCGAACTCCAGACAACTTCCTACATAGAGTCAGTCGCAGGAGCTGTAATTCATGAGTGACAGTAGCTGAACGGTCTATGAGCTCACTTTATAACCGGAAGGCTTCGGGTTTGAACCCCGATGGGTAAGAACTAATGAAGAGTCCCAAAACGACGAAGAAACCGCTATCTAGTACCCTCTGGTTCTCCAATTGTTCCCTAACCGGTGTCAGCTTGTGATCAAACCTGCGTAAATGTGTTCATGACAAAAGCTAAACACACAATTAGTGTAGTTGTGGCTTATTGGGTTAGGCACTTAACAGAGCGTCTTTATTTCACCCTGTTCTATGCAGTCCTCTTCAACTGGCCACAGGATTGCCCATAAGCCTCCACATATTCTCCTCACACGATACCCTGCAAGTGACCCTAAGACGCTCAACTCGTCATTTCCTACTCGGGTTCCACTCAAAGGGGGTTGCCTTGCGTCCAATATCACCCGGCGGTTTCCTCAGTGTGTATCCGACCCGTCTCTATTTTCTCAGGGATAATGTTTGAGCAATAAGTTCTCGATTGCTTCGTTCCCAGAGTTACTTGTTGCTAATTCTTTCTGGCCAGCAATCTGATTTTCACTATGAAGCCAGCGAAAGTAGCTGGCTTTTAGATGTGTTTCGACTGATTCACGCACCAAGTTTCTGAACCAATATACAAGAACTGATCGACTTGATATTGATGTTTAAAATTCGAATTTCGTTCTTTATGCTGAGTGCAGTAGATTTGCAAACTGATTTCAGAGTGATGAAGGTCTGACTGGCTTTTAACATCCTCAACCGTGCTGTCACCTGTAGTTGAAGAATGTGAGCACTTTCAAATTTATCCAGTTGATAGTGACCAGTGACTATTGTTAATTAACAATAACAACCATAAAATGAAGAGAACTTATGCTTTTCTATAGTTTGGTTCGTAGGGGTTAGTTATGTTTTTACGAGTTGATCACGAATTGATATCAGTTAGAGAACAACTGAAAACCAAGGAGTACTGCCAGACAGCTGCTGTGTCATCCTAGTTTGGGAATCATCGTTAGTACGCACTCACCGCCAGAGTCCGAACCCAGGACCTTCCGGTTACAAGGCAAGCTCGTACACCATTCAGCCACTGGGACCGATTCAATGGCCAACTCATAGATTCTAACTCCTACCAATTCGTGATTTAGCGCGACCCCAACCATTGTCGTTGGTGGGACATCCATTCACATACGTGACATCTTACTGGTCACGGCTTCTCACTATAACTCCAGGAAACTCCATCCTGTAGCAAGTCACTAGCGAGCATCAGATTAGTTTTCTATAGTTTGGTTGGAAACTGCTGGGTTCGAATCTCAGTGGGTGCGCACTGCCGATGATTCCCAAACTAGGGTGAAACAGCAGCTGTCTGGCAGTACTCCCTGCTTGTTTTCAATGGTTCTCCAACTGATATCAGTCCGTGATCAACTCGTGAAAACTTATGCGTTGAAAATCAGTGTGATATAGCAAATAAAATAACCAGCACCTTAAAAAAAAACTTACTGCTTCTAAACATTCGTTTAGTGTAGCTCGAAATGCCGCCAACAAGCTAGTCGGAAGATCGGACATAAATCCTATTGTATCCAGTAGTAACATTTGTATACCAGGTAATCCAATACCACCGGTACATTGGTCAGGGGCCATACTGTCGTCAGATGTTGTAGGTACAGGCAATCGTGTCCTATGATGAGTAATATCCAAAGTGGCAAAAACTTCTGGGCATGAGGTAAGTTTGTCTGATTTGCTTAAATAGCGTATTAGACTAGTTTTCCCTGTAGGTAAGTCAAAAACACAAGTTCTAGGATATACATATGTGCATACATTGAAGCGATTTCATAAGATTATGAAGTCAAGGTTTATGAAACATGGAAGTACGTGATGTGGACGTGATATCTGGCTATCGATCAAAGGGCGTGTGTACTGCTCAGCGGTCCGCTTCATCCTCCTTTATAGCTGTGACACCTGGCCATTGAGAGTGGAAGACATGAAAAGGCCGGCTAACTTTCTTTGATCATAGGTGTCTGTGTTCTATCTCCCGTGTGAAGTGGTATAATAGGGTGAGCAATATTGAGGTTAGGCATCGAGTGCTAGGTACGTGGGAGAGGAAATCAATACACGAGACTGTGAAGTTACATCGACTGAGATGGTTACGATATGTGTTACGCATGCTTAGCCATCGCCTCCCTCGACAATGGGCAATGTTAGCTGCTGACATAGGATGGATCAGGTTGGAAAAGAGTCAGTGGTGGTCAAACCAAAACATGGCTTCATCAGTCAATGAAATCCACAATGAGTTACATAGGGATGTGTACAATTCCCGACTGGTTGGGGTCGTCGGGACGGTAAACACCAGTGGCTGGAGACAATTGATGATATGCCTCAAAATCGTTCTCAATGGCCGGCGCAGATACATCCACTCTTTGTGACTTATAATTTCCAAAAAAACTATATTGTTCTTCGTTATTACTATTCCTTTTGTCTCATATCCCTGTCTACTGTCTCTATTTCGCATTTATTTTTACTTTCTTCCTAGCTTTGTGTGCTGAGTGAAGTGTGGCGACTTGAACTGCAGCACCGATGTGCGGCAGTTTAGATGTTTAGATAATAGTAGATATACTGTGCCTCAATAATGATATAATCGATTGACTCATTAAATCGCAAACCTGATAGTTTGTTGCTTTATTTCATTTATTGTGTGAGGGCTGAGATACTGCCCGGGCACCCAGACTGAAGCAGGTGTTTTATTAAGGGACCACACCCTGAGCCTTTGACTTGGAGTCTAATCCGCAAGGCAGCGGAGCAAAGTCAGGAGCTGCATTCCCATGGTTGCCGGTGACCAATATAGGTTCATACGCCACTTGATCCGATTGGATTCTAGGGTCCATGTACCCCATGGTAACTGCTTTTAGTCTAACCGCTATCCAAACAACCTTCCTGACATGATAGTATCTGCAGGAACATGAGTCCCAGCCAGTTTAGCTTGTTGGGTCATTACAGTATTCAAGCCTGACCACTACGGCAAGGTAGCAGTTATCGACCGGAAATCGCAAACCACACCAATCATGTTTCCTATACGTTTAAATTTCAGTATTGAGACGGAAACGGTTTCGCTTAAGTCTGCCAGCTGACTGAGTTTCAACACGGAACCTAGGACATTAGTACACCAGTTCAAGTTGCCAGACTACATGTAGCACACAGAGGGCAGAAAAGAGAGAAAAGAAATCCAAAAGAAATATAATGAGCTGAAATGTGCGAGAGGAAAAACATGAGGATATAATGCACATGGAAGAACATATGGAGTGGATGCATCTGCGACACCGATAAGGATTTTGAGCTAATATCACTAATATTCATCCAGGCAATAATGAAAACAAAACACGTAGCTCTATTTTCGACGAATTCATTTTCTTAGCTGTATAATCGCAAATATATATATGGGTTATTTTGTGTGTATGTTTACATTAAGGGTAAGATCCCGCATCTGACCACTTCTATGTGCATATATCAGTTCACCTGCTGCTGTGGAGCCAGGTACATCTGGTTAACACTGATCATTCCATCTCAACAAACGCCTCCTGCCCCAAAGTAATCTACAAAGTCAAGAATAACCTAAGGCAATACGGTTTTGTCTTCTTTATATCGCTGAAGCTCTGGCCATTCACATAGAAAAACCGGAGCTGAGCATGCAAAAGAGGATTACTCAACCGCTTCTACTATCATGGTAACAAATTTTTTTATTTTGATGACGTAATTTTGCTTCTTTGCGTGTTCTTTAATTGCTTATAATTCTTGTATTTATTTAGAACTCTCACGTAATTTCGTATTCTCTACTTTGTTTCTATGTGCATCCTGAGTACAACTCACTCATCAAACTATTCATATTATTATATAATTTCTTTTAATAACTGTTTGTGACAATTCATCACCTTTGTTACTACCCTAATTTTATTAACACCTAATTTTCTTGACTGATTTTGTATTAGGTAACTCCAATTACCAATCCTCACCTGCTTAGTTAAAATAAACATAACCAATTGTATTTTTGTTTGATAAACTTAATGTACACATATATACAAAATAACATACATATTTGCGGTTGTACAGCTAAGAAAATGAATTCACTGTCGAAAAGAGACTCTTCACTGAACTACGTGTTTTGTTTTCATATCACTAAAAGTCTTCAGCTACTGGATCTTAGCATCAGGAAGTGTACACCTCACCGCCATGGTTCAAACTAACTGTAGAAGACTTCAAGAATTGACGAGAGGTTCTAGTTTAACCGCGCTTAACTCTTTCCCAACCTAACCCTATGTTAGCTAACGCTGTTCATCGAGGAAGGCGATAGCTCGCAAAGTGCAACACGTGTCCTTGCCATCTCAATTTGATGTAGCCTCACACTCTACACGTGGCCTGAATATTGTTCATCATATAGTACCACTTAACCTGGGAGATTTAAAGCAAGTAAAGCGGTTAGACACTATCATCTTAGAACCATACAGTCTAAAGTTGTTTTTTTCCTTCACGTTCCCAGTGGAACATAGGGCTTCAAGCTAGTGGCTTGAATTTTTCGTAGCAGTGTTTATTTTTACAGGATGGGGTTGCTAGCCTCATGCCTAACCTTTCCTCTTTACCAGCATTATTTCTGCCTCAGCAAGGTGAAGGAGTGCGTCGGCCGGGGATCGAACCCAGAACCATGTGCATGGTCGGCGAGCGTCCTAACCGCTGTGTCACCGACGCACAAACACATACAGCCTAAAGTAATATATATATATAGAAACAGAAAGTGAAAGCCCAACCCCCCCCCCCCAAAAAATTAACTCTCATACCAGCATTGGTGTAACCAACAACTGCAACCAACGGTAAGTGATGTTTCTCCATTCCCCTCCGATGACTACGCTTATGATTAACACGTTGTTTTGATATTTTTTCCAACTGATTTAATAGATGCGTTTCTTTTTCCTATAACAGTCAAATCAAAAGAGAGAGGGAGTGACAGCTTGTACTAGTCCAAAAAAGGTTAAGATGACATTACAACTTTTCAATTTGTACCAATTTGGTGATCAAGGTGTGATAAATGCGTAAAACTATATCAGGTGGTTTGAACTAATTCCGCTCTCTGAGCTGAGTTAGAATCGGGCACACACCGCTGATGAGCTCGGTCGCAAAAGTGCGAAACAATCGTCCAGTGTTTAGATGACTTCTTCGATCTGACTAGCAAGTACTACTGTAACAACAGAAGACAAGGGCCAGGCAACAGATCGTTTTATTATGAAAATAAACACGTATTTATACATATTTCACATACATTATTATAGCTTATGCAAGTAGACAAGCGCAGTCATCTGATTGGTTGTTTATCAGAAGTTAGGCAGACAAACGCAGGCTTCTGATTGGTCGTTTCGGGATTCCTCGACAAATAGAGTTCTCTATCTGCGAATCATGTTTTGCCACGTTAACTTTGCTGTGATTGGTTGTTGAATCAGCCTTGCTCATATTTTCTCACGGCCTGCTCTCACCACACTCGTCCCCCCATCAAATACGTGCGACTGAAGTCGGCTTGATCTACTTGGTGCAGGCGTCATCGTTGGCTTGTCTCGCTGTATCCATTTCTGGAGCTCGCTGACGTTCACGCGCCTCTCATTGTTCGCCATTGCGATTGTGTCCGCGTAATCCCATCTCGAAGTGACCATATGTGGTCCTTCCCACTTTGGAAACTGTTTGCCTGACCCTGTCGAACATTCGTCAGTATTTCGTCTCACACTTTCATATGCTGCTTTCACCCGACCTCCCAGCAGCGTCCCAAGTAGCAGCTCCATCGCTGACAGATCTTGAACGCCACTCAACTGCGCAGAAGCCTTGAAGTCCTGCCCGAAGATCCATATGTCTCCATCAAAAACAGCAGGGCATAGGCTTTCCATTTGTCGGTAGGCAGCGACACCAAATGTAACAACAGAAGACAAGGGCCAGGCAACAGATCGTTTTATTATGAAAATAAACACGTATTTATACATATTTCACATACATTATTATAGCTTATGCAAGTAGACAAGCGCAGTCATCTGATTGGTTGTTTATCAGAAGTTAGGCAGACAAACGCAGGCTTCTGATTGGTCGTTTCGGGATTCCTCGACAAATAGAGTTCTCTATCTGCGAATCATATTTTGCCACGTTAACTTTGCTGTGATTGGTTGTTGAATCAGCCTTGCTCATATTTTCTCACGGCCTGCTCTCACCACACTACTTACTGGTTGATATGAGTAGTATACAACTACTCATTTCAATCAATCAGTAGTATATAGTTTTACGCAAAATGAAATTTCATTGAAACTGTTAAGAAGACTAAAACCATTTGATAAAACCGTGTGCTTATCCTACATTTAATGGCCGAGGGTACTGGAGAATGGTCATAATGTAACAACAGAAGACAAGGACCAGACAACAGATCGTTTATTGTGAAAATCAACAGATATTTATGGATTTTTGTGTACATTATTATTATTCGTTACTAAAGATAAATAAAGCCAACCTCCCACTGCGTCCAATTTTGGATATGTCAGGTTCCCTGTACCATTCAATAGCGAAATGGCTAGCTGACATTTTAGAACCTGTATGAAAACAGATGTGCAACTATTCGCTTCGTGACACCTTCCAATTCGTCGATTATATTAAGGGTATCAATGTAAAGAACAAAAGTATGCTCTCTCTTGACATTGAGTCACTATTTACCAACGTTCCACTCACATAAACCATCTGTCACATTTGTCAACATATAGACGAAAATCAGGTGAACATCGGATTACCGGCAACTTGTTTAAAAGAACTACCACTGAGATGTACACTCAATGTACAATTCACATTCAACGATGTTATTTACAGACAACAAGGTGGGATAGCAATGGGATCTCCATTGGGCCCATTACTAGCAGACTGCTTCATGGCAAGCCTCGAGAACGGTCCACTCATATCAGCTATTGACAATTTCCAATTGTATGTTAGATATGTGGACGACATCTTTATTATCTGTCATGACGGTCACGATCTCAATCAGTTACCACAAATATTCAACAACAAATGTCATTCAGCTACAAAGTTCACTCTTGAAATTGAAAACGAATCTAAAATCCCTTTTATTGATGTTGAACTTACAAGAAGAAGAGCTGACGGAACTTTAAGAAGGTCCATCCATAGGAAACCCACATGGAACGGCCAACTGACAAGCTTCTACAGCTGGGTACCAATCAGTCGAAAAAGCAACCTAATTAGATCTCTTGCCACTCGGGTCCGACGCATCTGCAGTTCTGATATCATAGAAGAAGAACTACACTTCCTGAAAGAAACCTTCATACAAAACGGTTATCCATCAAGATTCTTACACAAAACATCAAACAGAAAATCCAAAAGCAAGAGAAACCATCCGTGCTAAAAAAGATACTTTATATGAACCTCGACTTCAAAGGTGACCAACTCAGTGATGTCCTTAGGAGGAGAATTTCCATTTCTTTAAGAAGAACTTTCTTTGAGGCAACATTGAGAGTAGTGTTCCCTCGCCCACTGATCTGCAGAAGCCCAAAGGACAAGATCCCACACCTGACCACTTCTATGTGTATATATCAGTTCACCTGTTGCTGTGGAGCCAGGTACATCGGTCGTTCAACGCACATCGTGTCAAAACGGGTCAAAGAACTCTATCCAGTGTGGCTGCAGAAAGGAAGTAGTGGCCGTATAAGCAGTGCAATAATCGAACACCTCGTCAACACTGGTCATTCCATCTCAATAAACGCCTGCTTCAAAGTAATCTACAAAGTGAAGAACAACCTTCCAAAGACAATACGTTTCCGTCTGCTTTGCATCGCAGAAACCCTATCTATTCAGTTGGAAGAACCAGAACTATGCATACAAAAGAAAATTATTCAACCATTTCTACTCTCGTGGTAACAACTCCGTTGATTTGACTCCGTTTGATTTTGGTGGTATACTTATTTTTTTAACTACTTAAGACCCTGGGGTGATTCCGTTTGCTGTTTGGTTTTCATGTCCACCCTGAGCACAACACTTTCATCAAACTACTCACGTTATTACGTAACTCTTCTCTAACGATTGTTTGTGAGAACACATCACGTTTTGTAATATCCTCTTTTATCAACATCCAATTCTTTCATGTTGTGTTTCATTGTAATCCTTTCACGTCTCCCATGTATTTTCACAACGTCGTATCATTTGCTTTCTCTGATATCAAACTTATCTCCCTGCTATTTGATGTTTTTATGCCGATGAACGTCTGTTTTGATACTTCGGAGAAATCTTATGATTAGCACACGCCACACTATGGTGGTAAAACTTACCGACGCACATTGTTGATTGATTTTCTACCTGAGTTTCCCAAAGAAGATGAAGGAGAAATACCATAAGGTATCCGTCTTTTGGCTTCAGATCACACAGCACTGCATCACGTGATACGCTATCGTTTATTATCATACTTGAAGATCCTGGATGAAGAGTAAATTATTATGCAATAAAATATGCTGACAATTTTGTACAATGTGTACAAATTTTGTCCAGAATAAAGCTGTTACTATTATTATTGTTGTTCTATGCGGGACCAAACTTTGAATAGTATTTCCACATACCACTATCACTTCAATCTTTACAGTAAGTTCTTTGGCGCGAATCGTTTGACATTATGCTAAGCACTTGAAGGATTGATGAGCAATATATATAATCAAAAGGACATCATGAGCACCAAGAGATGTGCCACACAAAAATAATCAAACAATCTATGAAGAAAGTAGGGGTGGAAACACTGAAGGTGACCAGAAAGTAAGTAAGTCTACTCGTCAACATCATTCACCACTTCATGTTACTTTCAGAAAGGGGAGACAGAAGGAGATTGCAACATATGCGCGCCGCTGATTGTGATACTTGGTCATGTCTTAACGTCTCGAGCCACTGATTCAAACTATCTCTCAGACCCCAACCAGGAAGTCATGATTCGCCAATGGATGCAAGCATTACACAGATATCTTTCATCCTACTACGCCACGTTGTAGGCTGATCATCTCTTCGCTTTTTCCATCCAGTTCTATGACTAGCGAACGGTCAGCAGTGTATGGGAGCCTCTGGGATGACTTTCTTGACACATTTCCAAGCCACCATGGCTGGTGTTTCACAAGATGACAACACTCAAAGTAAGATAACCTCCATCTTGTTCAAACACGCTGATATGCAAGCAATTCTACGGGGAAGCGACGATAGAATACGCAGAGTCGCCGCACATTCTCAGATCGGAGAGGCCATATTTCATAGGCGTAGAGCAAGAGACGACTATGAGCACTGCAACATTTTAGATCCAACAATTGATAACCAGGCTGACACCAAAGCGGTCAGATACTACGTGACATCAACCATGAGTCTGGTTGTCCATCTGCTGCTTCTTCCTTCCAACTAGACTAAAATTAGAACAGTCTACCTATGGTAACCTTATAAGCAAGAAGAAGGAAAAGCGGAAAAACACTCACATTAATTATTTGCATCAATTGTTCTTTGCAAGCGAAATCAGATCTGTTAACTAAACTTTCAATCATACCAGATGTTTGAAAGAATGCTGGAATACGAGATCGAAGTAAACCAAGTTCAGCTAATTTCGCTTGAACTTTTGCCTCTGGAGTTCGTGATCGAAGGGTGAAAAGTTGAACAACAAGCGTGTAACTGAAAGAATTAACAATGTAAAGCAAAGAAAAAGGACAATGACTAATAATCCCCCTTAAATTATAGGAAGTAGATGTGCACTACTCATAAGGATTCAAAATATCTGCAGTGTTAGCTGGATAAAAGTTAACGGTATTCACATCAAAACACGACATCAAACACTTATGAAATCATTTGGTTGCTAGTTTCAGCTACGAACCTCGAGATGTTCAGTATCAATGGGTGGACACTCTTGGCGATATGGTTAAACATCATTTCGAAAGGCACAAATTTATGAGCTCTTAACCATCTTAGTGATTCAGAGCATCTTTACTCGATTCTGTAAAAATTATTCTTCCTTGTCTGTGTTTTCCCACTGTAGTATCATTACACTTCGTTTTCTTGCTGTGTATATCGATTTGAAATGTGTCAAATTGAACTGGTACACAAAATGTGCAGAGTTCAAAGTTCATTCGTCTGTTTGTTTATTTGATATGGTTAGCATCATCAGCCTACTAACAGAATATCCTGTGAATGCTGAACTTTGACGTTATTTATAAAAGTTTATCGTTGGATTCCCAAACATCATCCTGTGTGCTTAAGTAAAGGACAAACAAAATACATTCATATCACGATTCTGTCTCATCTCATCGATACAGAACACAAGGTTGATGTCAACAAAGCGGCTTTCAAAGTCATCTATCGCATACCAACTAATCTTAAACTTATGTCTCAATAGTTTGCCTACTACATACATATTGCTGAGGCTGGCTGTTGAGATTCACATTAAGAAACTTAACTTATGTATCTAGAAGAAGTTGCTTCAGACACTTTCATCACCTTGGCCATTAAGGTTTTAATGATCCTCTCAATTTGTTGTGGAAATTGCATATAATGCTAACAATAATAATAATAAAAAACACTTTATACCAAGCAATAATCATACACAATGGAAACTTTCAGTATTACGTAATCAGATGAAAGAGAGGGTGAAAATATCCAGTTATCAGGACAAGGAAACCCTGATAACCGTTTCTTTTAGGCGCTTGATGGAGACTGCTCTGGCAAACTTAAGGAGACTGTTTAAAGTCGAATCAAAACACCAACAAGGAACCATCATCAAAGACCACAAGAAAATTCATCTACCATACATGAAAAATATCTCTGAAATAACAGCTAGAATACTGAAACCGTTTGATATACATATAGCACACAAGCCAGTCAAATCGCTTAATTCGATATTATGCAAACCGAAAGACCCAACAGAAAAAGGAGATAAAATTAATACCATTTACAAAATAAATTGTATGAACTGTAACAGACATTGCATCGGCCAAAGTGGGCGTCCCCTTCGAATCGGAATCCAGAAACATAAATCAGCCGTGAAAAGACACGATATATATTCCTGTTTCATATCAATGCATATAGACAATCATGGGCACCAGTTTGAATGGGATAATGTCGAAATCTTAGACAGAGGAAACACCAAAAGTGCCAGGGAACTCCTAGAAGCCTGGTACTCAAACGAGTATGCAATTGACAAACACGTTAATATAGACCAAATATACCAACTAATAAGAAGTATATCATGTGAATGGAAAGTTTAAAATCCAGCTCAATAGAAAATGGTCACTACATATGTAAAGATGGTTACCGGGAGACACAATTCTATCACTTATGAAATTTAAATCATTTCACTTTATACTAAACATTGCGCTGAAGGGGGACGACAGCTCCACAACTAAACCCACCAGCTCAAAGAACACTATCAATTGCAAAACTGGAACTCTTTTGCCTATTGATAATTTTGAATGATCTTGTGACGTCCACCTCACGACTCGTGTCAAGGAGATGCCTGGTAATGGCATTGTTTAGAGCATTTGTTCCCTTTAGACATAGGCTTTTTGGCACATGTTCACTGAAATCTGATACTAATATTGTTAATGGTGACTATTCTAGAATATTCTATGTACATATATATATATATATATATATATATAACTGTAGAGCCAGGAGAGGAAATTATCGAAAAGGATATTCTTCGCTCATTTTTTAAATAAAAGTTCTGTAAGATCCTTCATGAGAGTCACTTGAGTCACCTTAAAGAGTAAAAGCCAGACATTTTAGTGTGGGTAGAATCACTAGTGTTCCAGTGGTTTAAAACAACACTGCATCAGAGGAATAATACACTTAACTTTTGCTTTCACTATTACCATCTAAATAAATCATTTACGCAATTATACTCCCTTATAATTTTTTTTTTTTTTTTTTTACAGCTTGATTCCACACTGTATTTTCGGTACAAGTATGGAATTTTCAGCATGGATATCGGTAGCCCAAATTTTGCAGGCCGACCATAGATATCATGGGAAACGAGTTGGGCTTGGTCCAAAGGTGATACGGAAGATATCGTGTAAGGAGGAAATCCAGGCTTATCGGGAATCGTGGAGCCTGTCAAAACAGACTGAGAAGAATAAGGTGAAATGGAGTTGTGCTAGTGAGGCCTTATGTTCTATCCTACTTAACTTAATTCCACTGTTCAGTGTACTTTATTCCCCCTAACAGAGTTCACTTCATTTTATTGTGTGTTAGTCAATGACATTTTGGAAAGGTTAAGCATGTAGATAAATGCAAGCAAATGGCCTGCATATGTTTTTACATTTAACACAACTTATTACGGTTCAAAAGAATGGTTGGCATATGGCTTTCCCAATCAATAACAGGTTTGATTACGAGCTTACATCAGTCAGAGAACCATTTGATAAACAGGAAGGCTGTTTCGACCTAGTTTGGGGCTCTTCGTTAGTACACATACACCGGGATTCAAATATAGGACTTATCATTTTAGAGGTAAGCTCGTCGAGCATTCATCTATCAGGACCCGATCCAATGGCCGATGAATCCCAACGTCTGTTGTATTACCTGACTCGGTAGATCCCGATGGTCACAACTTCTCCCTAGAGAATTGGTGAATTGGCAGAAGCTGGAATTCATAGGCCATTGGATCGGGGTCTCAGTGTCCTTGGTTCGAACCCCAGTGGGTGTGCACTGTGATGAAGAGTCCCAAACCAGGACAAAACAGCTGTCCGACATTGCCTGTTATTTTAATGGTCCTCTAACTGATGTCAGCTTGTGGCCAAACCTGTAATCAATCAAATCCTTGTAAACCAACACTTGAAAATCAATCAATAAAAAAGAGTGATATCATGCATCCTGTATGATTCAATATGTGTCAATAAGATAGTCACTACATACTCCGAATAACTCTAATATTTCTCAAACTGACCGGTCATAAACAGGCATTAGCCAGGCCTGTTGAATATATGCAAGTTGAGATGTTGTCAGACGTGACCAGTTGATAAGAACTGCCGTTGCTCGTTTTTTAACTACTTGATTATTGGATTTAGTGGAAAGTTTATCCTGCGTTTCAATAGGTGCTTGACCATCACGATATTCGACTACGATTCTGGATATTTCTTCCCAAACACCTTTACTGAAAAATGTTTGTGAATTATGGTGTGGATTTCTTACATTACATGAGATCTGAGTACAAAAAATAAAACAAACGGGTAAGAATCACAGGTAATTGAAATCAGTCACTTTTAGTATCCTAATAATACTAATAATATAATCATAATAATAATAGTAATAATAATAATAACAATAATATTAGCTTTATTCCAAAACAGTACCTGTAATACAGAATGGAATTCTCAGCATTTCACTACAGTATTGCATCCAGTTAGTACGTTAACAACAAAATAAAATTCTACATAGATTAAGGGTAATCTCAGTTAGTTATCACAATAACATATTAGCATGTCGGTAGCAAAGCCAAAATTAAACAGAGTGTTTGAAGGTTCTAGAAAAGTAGATGCTAGCATATTTACTGGCGTAAGCAGAAGAAAGAAACAAAGCTGCACATAACAGAGAAAAGAGAGAGAAAAGGAAAAGAAAGAAAGAAAGAAAAACGTTGTACCTATACATGATATGAGTTGGAAAGACGAGATCCAGTTGTTCTACTGACTATTTAATAAGTTAAAGGTTTCACACCTAATACTTTCTTTATCGCACAGAACACGAGCTAAGTAGGGAAGGTATGGTTGAGTTTTTGTACTTACTAGTCAGTGCGAGCATATAGTTTTCTATATAGGCTTCTGGCCTGCCTGTCTGATGAGATACAAGGGGAGAGTTGTGAATGAAGAGGGTGGTGGTGTGAGTTAGATAGATAGAATGTATTTAGCCCATTTTTCACATGAGTCCATGTGCCTGTCGACTGAAATATTAACAAGCTGGTTAAGTGGCACGTAGCTTACCCTGTTGACAACCTTTAACATCCTGCATAATAAGGTATAGTGTTAATAGAGTGTTAATAGCGGTAGAGATATGAATATGATTAGATACGTATTATAAGAAAAGTTCACAACACCCATATCGCGAATTACATCATGCCAAATTCTGCCTCTTTTCTAACTCCCAATTAGTCATCCCTTCAAGGTTACAACTTCCATTATGTAATACACTTTTCGAGGACAAATTTTACCAGTTATCCGATTGGTCTAAATATTTCTTTGTTCAATATATATTATTACCGTTGTACAGCCCATGAAAATGAATCGTCAAAAAGAAAAATTTGCTTCGCTGTTTACGCCTTTTTCTTACTTCTAAAAACTCTTCAAAACTTTCTACATAAATTATAACTAATAGATATTTTCACTGGACACTAGTAACTAGTGTGATGTGTCTAGTCCTTTCTTTGGTGCAGACGGAATTCTATCAGTCAGGTTTACAATGTGACCACCACATTCTGGGTAGCTCGCCATCACGGTGCACTTTGAATTGTTGACGACTTGCTGATCAGTCCCAACCAGCACGATGTTATTATCTTTGAAGGTTGAAAGGTTTTCCGTCCATTATACTATCATTTTATTAGATAGTTGGAGGCAATCGGCAAGAAAGGACTAGACACATCACACTAGTTACTAGTGTCCAATCAAAATATCCACTACAGTCCTACAGGAGGTCAGTCGCGAGACTGAATAGCTCAGTGGTAGCGTCTCTGACAGCTTGACAAAAGAAATTTGTGCAAATACTATGAGATTTTTAAGTTATCAACTCATCTGCCATACTTCCTATTTTTCAATTATATTACACTAAGATTAGAAACGTACTAGCCGGTGATGACATTAGGATTTTTCATCTACTCCTGAGGAATTACATAATCATGTTTGTCAATGAAAACAGTTGACAATTCGTTAACTCAAGCATTCTGCCTATTATTCTCTATTGTTCCCCCTTAGTTTTTCCAGGGTTGGCTACTGAAGAAAGACTATACCTTATTATGCAGGATGTTAAAGGTTGTCAACAGGGTAAGCTACGTGCCACTTAACCAGCTTGTTAATATTTTGGTCGACAGGCACATGGACTCATGTGAAAAATGGGCTAAATACATTCTATCTATCTAACTCACACCACTACCCTCTTCATTCACAACTCTCCCCCCCCCTGTATCTCATCAGACAGGCAGACCAGAAGCCTATATAGAAAACTATATGCTCGCACTAGCAAGGACAAAAACTCAACTACACCCTACTTAGCTCATGTTCTGTGCGATAAAGAAAGTATTAGGCGTGATACCTACAACTTATTAAATAGTCAGTAGAACAACTGGATCTCGTCTTTCCAACTCATATCATTTATAGGTACAACGTTTTCTCTCTTCCTTTTTTTATTCTGTATTTATTTTTGTTATGTGCTCCTTTGTTTCTTTCTTCCTTACAAACTCTATTTAAAACGTTCTTCTTCGTTCTCTCACAGTCTGTATATCTCGACATTTTGTCACCGCTTACGCCAGTAAATATGCTAGCATCTACTTTTCTAACACCTTCAAACACTGTTCAATTTTGGCTTTGCTACCGATATGCCAATATGTTGTTGTGATAACTAACTGAGATTACCTTTAATCTATGTAGAACTTTATGTGTTGTTAATGTACAAACTGGATGCAATACTGTAGTGAAATGCTGAGAATTCCATTCTGTATTACAGGTACTGTTTTGGAATAAAGCTAATATTATTGTTGTTATTATCAATTTACAGAGAAATTTGCATATTTCAAGCTTCTGAGAATTAATCATCATAGAGATGAACACGAACCCTTCAACGCTAGTATAGTAGTCAAAGTTAATGGGGAAAAAGTTGAGAAAAGTAAGCTAGAAGTTCAAGACAAAAATACTGATTAATTTGCTACTTGACGGGTATCGACACGTAGGTATCAAAAGCAAGCAGTCACAGGGCATCAGGTTACCATTCTTTACCTTCTACATGTCTGTATTTTAGTGTAGTTGTGTTCTCCAAGCTGGATAGTTCGGTTGCGAAGCTTTCATTGTCATCACCAGGCAACATTCTCGGCGCCTACTTCAGTGCAGCTGAGAGGACACAAATCTACATCAAAATCATCCACAGGAACTACAAATCTTCTCCACTACACGTATACTTGTTGACTGGAGTAAGAGAAACATCTATAGAACGACAAATCTTTAAATCGTATTTCCTCCACTAATATATATATATATATATATATATATATATATATATATATATATATATATCAGGATTCAACATAGAACTTGGCACCGAAGTGTACCAGTTCCAGTTGCCACGTTCCAAATAGCACACAAAGGTAGACAAGAAGATGAGTGAAGAGAATCAATAGAGTTTGACAGATATAAGAGTGAAACAGAATGGGTAATGGTAGAAAGGAATATGAAAGATTACAGAGACTGAATACATCTGCGCTGGCCATTGACAACGATTTTGAGCCATGTCACCTATTGTCTCCAGCCATTGATTCCTAGAGTCCCGAGGGCCCCAACCCGGGAGTCTGCATCTCCCTACCTGACTCAGTTTAACTGTCAAGGATTTCATGGATTGATGCCATGTTTTTGTTTGGCCACCACTGGCTCTTTTCCAACCTGCACCTATATCAGCTAGCAATGCCCGTCGGGGGAGGCGGTGGTTAGGCATGCGCAGCACGTGACCTAGCCATCTTAGTCTATGTAACTTTATAGCCTCGTCGATTGATTTTCCCTCTTTGCCCAACACTCTACGCCTAACGTCAACATTACTTACCTTATTAAACCACCTAACGTGAGACAGAGATCGCAGACATCTATGATCGAAAGCAGTCAACCTTTTCATGTCTTCAACGCGTATTGGCCATGTTTCAGAGCCATAGAGAAGGACGGAGCGAACTGATGAGCAGTACACACGTCCCTTGGTTGATAACCGGATGTCACGCCTACGCCAGAGATGGTGTAAGTCAGCGAAAGCAGCTCGAGCTTTTCGGATCCGTGCTGAGATTTCATCGCCAATCAGTCCGTTGGTGCTAATACAACTTCCCAAATAGGTGAAGTGGTCAACATGTTCTATCACTTCACTCCCTATCACTAAGTTAGGAGTTGACGTGGTCCAGTCCTGTAGCAGCATCTTACATTTTGTAGGGGCGAATCGCATGCCAAACATACGAAGATTGCTGCTCAAGGTGTTCAGAAGACTCTGCATTTTGTCAGCATCCTCCCCTAACAGGACTATGTCATCTGCATATTCTAAGTCCATAAGATTATTCCCTGGTAACAAGTCGATTCCTAAGTCATTACGTTCAGTTAAGGATACTTCCATCAGCATATCTATGATGAAGTTAAACAGAAATGGGGAAAGTGGACATCCCTGTCGGACACCACTGGTTGTTACCAATTCAGATGACAATTCCCCATAAGCCCTTACACGACTACGTGAGTTTGAATAGAGTGCCTTGATTAGTGCAATGTACTTTCTTGGCACTCCCTTCACAGTCAGACATTGCCATAGTACCTTTCGATCCACGGAGTCGAAGGCCGCCTTCAAGTCAAGAAATATGACAATTGTTGGACGCCGAAAAGTGTGTCTATGTTCTAGAATCTGTCGAAGAGTGAAGATATGATCTATGCACCCTCTACCTGGTCTAAAGCCTGCTTGATTTTCCCTTGTCTGTTCCTCCCGAGTTCTGCTTAGTCTATGCATGATTACTGAGCCTAGGATTTTAGAGACTATGTTCGTTAGGCTGATCCCCCTATGATTATCACACGAGGACTTGTTTCCCTTCTTGAATATCGGTATAATAAGTGACTTACCCCAGTCTGATGGCACTGTCTCTGATTCCCAGACTTTGCCTAGTACCTCAGTTAATCTACAAACTAGTATGTCACCCCCATATTTAAACACCTCCGGAATAATTCCGTCGGGTCCTGCCGCTTTGCCTCGTTTCAAATTACTGATAGCTTTTGTGACCTCACTTACAGACGGCGGACCAGTGTCTATATCCCATTCGGGTGTGTTGGATGTCGGGGAGGTTCAGTGTGGCTGTAGGCAAGTTAAATTGTTCCTCAAAGTGTTCTTTCCAGCGTTCAAGGCGTCTATCCTGAGAGCTAATTAAGGAGCCATTTTTCTCAGAAATAGTCTCACTTATGATTTGCCTTCTCCCACCCGTTTCTGATGAGTCTAAAGAGTTGCCTAGTGTTGCCTATCGCCGATGCTTTTTCCATCTCTTTGCCTTTGTCAGCCACCACTGTTCACGGTCCTTGCGGAGACTTTTAGTAAGTTTCCTTTTGTGCAGCTTTCGCTCCTCATTGAATTCGGAGCTCGCCGGAATAAGTCTTCTAGCATCTATCAGTTCGGATGAGGCAGTCGAAATCCAGTGGTTTTTACTCACCTTTGGATTTGCCTTATTCACAGCTTTTACAGCTGTATCTATAGCTGACTGAATATTCTTCCAGGCTTCTCCAGGGTGAGCACAGCTGTCGAATTCAGATATGCGTTTAGCTAGTTCTTCCTCAAATAGGGATTTAGTTTCCTGATCGAGCTGGGGACGTAATGGTTTTACCGCCAGCTGTTTCCTACGTCCGTTCAGTCGTAAGCACACACGAGCCCGGACCAGTGCGTGATCGGTATCTACACACGTGTTCCAGAAGGAGCGACAATCTCCTACCGACCCACGCCAACGATAGCTTATTGCTATGTGGTCTATTTGTGTCCAGCGTTGGTTTGATGATGGGGGTCGCCAGGTTAAACAGTGTCACATATATATATATATATATATATATATATATATATATACATATATGACAATTTTACTCAGGTAAATTATAATTTAAAAATTAATCTTTAGATAAATTATACCATATACACACACTTACTACATCAACAGTAGTCCAAAATTCTAGAGAATCAATTAGAGCTATAGCTTCGTCTATATTGGGAGTATGCTCACCTTTGGTTGCGTTATTTCTGATATTGCATACACCCTTCACACCTTGAAAGGATTATAAGGTAAAGATGTGTATGAATTTTCGTTAATAAGATAAACAATTACGCTTAAACTTTAAAACATACATATTGGTGTTTGCGATACATCTATACTGTCACTATAACATATTTCAACTGTGGAAACATGGCCCACTGGCTTAAGCATTCGACTTTTATCGAACAGGCCCTGGGTTCGAAACCCTTTCCACCTACTACTTCAGCCTGGGCAACTGGGCAGTAACAGAAATAAGTGTGACATAGCCGGGGACATGAAAGACTTGTCCTGGAAACTGAGTTCACTCCTCAACTTAAAATAAACTTAAACCGACAGAATAATGTGTATTTATGCAAAAAAAAGTGCGATTCGCAATGATGGGGATAAAAAAGCCATAAATTTGTGGTGAGAGCTGGCTGTTAGCCAAAATTGGTGGACAGTAATTTACGCCAACGTTTATGTCCCCAATATTGGTCGTGAGAAAAATGAAAACAAAGGCTTTCCGTAGGCGGATACGGTTAGCATGTAGATGATCTGACATTCGAGAAATGCCACAAAGAGATGCAAGGTTAACTTTCTGTGAGAAACAACCAATCAGAGGACTGTTTTTCTGCTAACAACTATCTATAATAAATTTTAAAAAATAATTTTTCCTTCACGTTCCCAGTGGAACATAGGGCTTCAAGCTAGAGGCCTGAAGTTTCTGTAACAGTGTTTATTTTTACAGGATGGGTTTGCTAGCCTCATACCCAACCTTTCCTCTTCACCAGCATTTTTCTGGCTTAGCAAGGTAAAGGAGTACGTCGGCCGGGGATCTATAATAATGTACATGAAAATCTATAAATATGTGTTAATTTCCTTATTAAACGATCTGTTGCCTGGCGCTTGTCTTCTGTTGCTACAAATCGAATAGTTACAATGCTTGTTATTCCGAAGTGAAAGTGGAAATCGGCCAAACCAAAACATATGAGCAATTCACGGAATGACTACTTGTTGGTGTCATCCGTACAGAGAGCCATACGTCGCCGGGTTGAAGTCAAGGCAACCACAGAGACTTGCAGTGAGAGAATCCATAAGCAGTGCGGTTCAGAAGCTAATCGCATTCACTTTTTATCTTCAAAATTGATCAATTCATCTATTTCGCAGCATGCAATCGATATATGCTGCTAAGCGTTAAATATCAAGTACGGTATCATTGACAAAAATGTAACAATCTTTTTCAAAGTTTCCGTTCTCCATTTAGTACACATCGATAAAGCCGTGGAGGCTTATTATTTGCAGTCAAAGCTGGGGGATCAAGATATTTCACAAAAACATCATGCATAGAATGAGGACGTAAAACCCTTTGACACCACCAATTTCAAAGAGCACCTCCCACTCTTTCTTTCTAACTTTGCCATCAATGACATTCTGCAGACATCTTTGAAGGATAGACATAGTGGTGTACATCCAACCTCAAGTATACACACAACATGACTTTAATGTGATAACAAATAGGTTACCCAAATATCGCTTTTTAATTGACGGCCAATGTCTGTAAGTATGGGATATGCTTCGTAATTGAACGGCTTACGTGTGAATTACTATGGCAAGATTAGTAGGAACCTGTACCCTGACTCACACTCGCAGGTAAACCATTAGGAGTGATTGAAAAGATCATGTATCTGCGTGGTGGCGTGAATTTTGGTAGACTTGCGACAGATAAAACTTCAAATCATATGGTGAATGCCGGAGTTGCATGCAACAACTTCAGTCACCTCTAAGACCAGCAAAAGTCGAGTTTACAGCGCATCAGTACGCGCCATTTTGTTCTATACCTTCGGGCGCTAGCTTCTCCTACTTGGGTGGAAGCTCTGAATGTTCGACTATCACTGTCTCTATAGAACTACATGTATTTAACTCTGAGACCCAAAACCGCGTATTTGGACAAGATGAAAATCGTCTTTCAACTGATGGTTTCATAATGGGACATCAATTTTGATGGCTTGGACGTGTTAGGGATGCCATCCTAGAGGCTTCCATATCGTTCACTATTTGGCAGCCCTGAGGCTAAATGGAAAAAGAGGAGGAATGACCAGTCCATGACCTATTACCGTGGAATGGAGGTGAGGTGTATCCATAGGATGGCACGACGGGGTAATGTCCTCTTGGATATGGTTCAGAAAATCACGTGACCCTGGCTTTAGACGTCAACCGAAATGTCTCAATTTGAACTACTGGTCATAATAATGCGAACCTATTACTTCATCAATACTAAGTAACACAAAAGTAATAAACGCCCTTCTAGACACATAGGAAACCTAATCGGATCATTCAGCTACTTTTCTTCTATACTGTCTCTACATTATTTTGTGTGGTGTATTTTCGTCACCCATTGTGTACAAATTTCTTCCTTCGTCTCAATATCACTTGACTATTTAGATGCACATAGGTGACAAATACAAAAAGTGTAGTTTAGACAATCAATTGTTTGTGTTTATAATCCAGATGAGAAAATCATTCATAAATTGCATACAAGCAACTCAGGGTCGTGCATTCATCGGTCAAATGATGAGACGAAGTCACAGATTCACCCATAAAAATGGAATTTACGATTAACGAAACATGAACTTTATAATTAACTGGTATTACCTTAATACAACACCCCAGGCAATAATTACCAGGTAACTATCAGATTTTTAAACACGGACTTGATCTTTTTGTGTCACCGAGTGAGGCTAAACCTAACGAAATGAATATGATTTTACCTAACCTTATAGGTACAATAGTAATTATAAAATTTGAAACTTAAGCTGAAAAACTTGTGTATACGAATAGTCAAGGTGTACACCACAAGAAAGTGAAGAAACAAAACTAAATTAAACTTACACGGTTGAATAATAAGGACATCATGTCCACTTTCAGGTAGCAAATAAGACTTTTTAAGAAGGCTCTCATATAGTTTATTAGAACTTGAGTCCATCAAGCTCATACCTGAATAATTAGCAATAAAAAAGACAAGAATTATCCTCAAACGACCATGGTTATATAACGAAACTTAATTAACTGATTTTATCTTATAAATAAGGTTAAAGCCTGATAACGGCATTTATAAAGCATTTTACCCTAGAAAGACTCAACTTTATCAAAATTAAAAAGCATTAACGGATGTTGCACAAGGGCTAAGTATAAGGGAACTAATTTTTTTATTAAGATCGACTTCTGCAGACTATAAACTACATGATGGTACTAAAATTACAGAGAAATCCGTAATAGAGAGGATGCGTCAGTTCCATCGTTTTCGGTTCTACTTGCAGATGTTTTCATATTGTATAAATTATATGGACCAAAAACTACCTAAAGTGATAGCGACTACTGTCATTGGCTGATATTTTTTTACTGGCATCAGATTTATCAAAAGAAACGGGAAGATGATTGTGTTTCTATTACATAATTGCAAATTATTTCATTAAACCATAAAAATAATCAGGATCTCTGTACTAACAATATGAAAAGCAATACTTATGCATCATGATAACTGATATTGTGGGAAAAAACCTCGACTAATGATAAGAATAACCTGCATAATGTTCGTTAGTTGCGTATTTCAGTATGTGAACTGTCTGGACGAGGACATCGAGACGCTAAGAATCAACGGCTGAAGACTTTTAGTAAGATTGCATAAAATCTTCAACATTTTGATAGTCATCACTGATCCATGCGTAATTATTCTTTCCACAGCATGTACACGTTTGTTATGCTTCTGCTCTGTGTGATTTTCAAGTTCCAGCTTGAATCAATGCATTTATGTTTTAAGTTGTGCATTGTTTCGCCAGCCAGTCAAGAGATATGAAAGAATATACGATAAAATGGAGTTGACAATAAGATTGGTTGTATATGCCCTCGCCCGAAAATATTTCCTCACACTTCAAAAGCAGTATAGTGATTAGCTTAATGTCACACACATGCTAGATATGATGCAAGGAGTCAAAAACTAAACCAACTTTTTGTTTGTGCTTATAATTCATTTGTAGTTAGTCCAGAATATTTTACTCATATTCGCAAATAAACTGATTGGTGAACAGATTGCACCAATTGTCTTTTTATCTTTAGTCAATTCAGATCAATTACGCAGCATCAGCTTAGCACGATAACCAAAATTACCATCATTTGTTATGTCATGATAAAAGTTAAAAAAAGTAAAATCCGTTATGAACACCATACTTACATCTTTTTTGCACAAAGCTTAGATACAGACGTCCTATGCGTCCAAACATTTGATTGAATTGTTGTAATTTATCGAAAGATTACAGATTTACATGGTATAAGCCCAAAGGGTGACTTTTGAAGACTGTGATGGGGTGGCTGAAATCAAGTGAGAAAATAGTATATTAGAGTTTCCACTCAGTATGTGAGTTACAGTATGTACGTCATTACAAATACTAGAAAACAAACTTCCCTAAAACAAACTCACAATAACGCGGAAAAAACTGATAATGAAGTGCAATACAGTGATGCTTTATATGCTTATGTAACTTAGTCTGCGTTATATTCAGGTATTTATTGCTGAAAAAGCCACCATACAAAAAGGCCTTATTACCACATTATTTTATTTTAAACCAGTAAATTAAAAGCATGCCAAGGGGGTCACTGATAAGGTCATTTGTTGTGGTTGCTAAAATTAAGCTTCACCTGGTGAAGCTTAGTTTTGTATTCATGCATGAATACAAAACTATCTGCAACATACACCAGTCTAGAACTGATAACTTAACAAAAAAGGAATTATTGGGTCTAAAATAGATATTCACCCAAATAAAACATTTAAGGAAATAGAAGCGAAACAATGTAAATATTTGGAACAAATGCAACTTCTCTATGACTCCCAAAAACAAAGTAAACCCATTCCTTTGGTTTCGTTAGGTTTAAGAAAACTGAATCTATTCGGAGAGTCAACCTAAAGTTCTCTTTCACATATTCAGCAATTAACTGTGACTGAATGCACTACCTCCAGCTGGAGATGATCCCTGGTACGTTGGTCGCACAGCGATTAGGACGCTCACCGACCATGCACATGGCCCGGGGATCGATCGCCGGCCAACGCACATTCCATATGAATAGTCTGCCGGCAAAATTTGGGCTACCAATATCACATGCTGAAAATTCCATGTTTTGATCGACAATACTGTGTGGAGTCAAGCCGTAATATAATTCAAAAATAATAATCGGCTCACCTCATGGCAGGACAAGGTCAAGTCGAGAGAGCGCCCAGTGACCTTGAAGGCACATCTGAAATCTAATGTCTTTTGACAAGCCTATAAAGACTTGTGTCATCTTGGGACCCTACTGAACTTTCAGAGCCGGTAGATTTACATTATTTTCCATTAAAATCAATATAAAATAGTGATTCTAGTGTTCAAACTGATCGACCCTCTTTAATGTTGAGGTGAATCAACTCCACCGAAACGTATTCCATATTACTCTAGTTATCATTTCGTCGACGGCCTTCTCCTCTCCAACAAGACATCAAATAGTGGTTAACACTGCAGAGTTAATTCTAAGATATCCACATGCCTGGAACTCGATATATATGCCCCATTACATACTTAACTGCGAGACTAATTGTGTTTTCTTTTCCCACTTCTGACTGGAAGACAAAACTCCAACACTCGCACACAGTTTTTCCTTGACTAAAAAAGATCACTGCAAATCCCTAGTCATGAAAACACCAATTGCATACATTCCCTGAGACTTTTAAATTTGTTAGTACAATTTGTTTAGTAGTTTTGAGGAGCAGTGAAGCACTACTGAGGCTGTGAATTTTTTCGTCTTCTAAAATAGACTCCCTACTCCATAATAGATTTAGGACTCTCTTAACATGGACAAGCAAACACATTTTCTACTGCCTCATGCACGAAAAATCCTCCCTTACCAGCTCCGTATTAGGTTGTCTGGTCGTGGCAATTCCTCAAGCTGTTTTTGTCTCAGTTTACCTGGGTTTCACCCATGTTTCAGAATAAGGTGACTGTACCCGTTTGTAAAATAAACTTCGAGGCCTGAAACCAGTTCACTGATCACTATCCAATATAGAAGTCAAGGGCTTCTGAACCGAAAACATAGGATGAACATCGTCTAGTAAGAAACATGACCATTGCATCAGAACTGGGGACAAAAGTTCTAAAGAACAGTTACTCCATAACATCGCAAAGTTCGTGTCATATATGTCTGATATTTCGATGCGCGTGAATTCTTCACCCATGGTATCGGTTTTAACACACTAAATCAGTGTTTGACCGAATTCTAATTTTGTTAGACCAGCAAAAAGAAAGCTGTAAAGTACTGTGTAATCTTCAGAAACAAAATCAAGAAAGCCGTAATTTCAGCTTCAGAAGATATACGCTTGACACCAAAACCAGTCTACAGACATGAACCGTTGTATGGCGCGGAAAACACCTAATGTGTACCAAGTAATGACATTCTGATATATAAAATTCAGTAAGACAGTTGGAAAATCTTGCATGCTAAAATGTTACCATATTACTTACTAAGCGGGCAATTCAAAACTGTTTCGCATGGATGAAATTTGTCCGAAAATTCTTTTTGTTGATAACTGAAAGCAGCGATTCGTTTGTTAAAATCATAGCCCAAAGCGAGCACAAATCTAGACCTAAAACTGATGTAACCAATAAAGAACCCTTGATTTAGCCCTAAAAGGAAGGTTATTCTAGTCGATGTTAATAGGGAAGTTCCTTTGAATGGGATGGTAAATATATCTCACAGGAATACAATAAACACTCAATATACAGTAGAGAATTAGTGGACAAATAAATAGTGGTATGCTATTTTCATAAAGTATAATGTCAATGTAGTTGAAGATTGAACGATCAACTCATGGCTGTTTGCTCAAACTAACTCCTCCATATTTTTCGCGGGAGTCATCCATCCACCAGTCACCGTCTCATCGTTCGCTGCTCAGTGGAAGATCAAAAACTATCAGGAGTATTATCGTGACTTAATGTCATAACATTTATTCTTAGACCTTGTGTGTAATAACCTTATTGTCGGTTACGTATTGGCGTAAGAATAAAGGATTCTCGAGTCGCCAGTCTGTGTTCTGGTTTTATAGCGTTGGTTATTACCAATTGTTTCTGAAAGTCTTCCAGGGTGAGCGTGAGGTCCAGCGTAGCAAGAGCTTGACAATGACAGTTAATGAGACTTGGCTGACAGTCTCTGATAGTTTCTGTTCGTCTTTCCTGGCGCCTGCAAGTCTTCTTTGGCGGCCTGTTCGAATTTTAGGGCCTGCTACTATAATATCTACATTTTGCATCCAGTCTACTGTTTACCAACATTTATTTATCACCTAAATATGAATTCTAACAGAATCATTTGCTCTCGTAACTTTATTAATCATTTACGACCAAATGACTTTCATATTCCAAAGAAACCAAGGAGGAAACATCGTAGTGGTTGGCAGAGAGCTCTCAAACGTACATCAATACACTTAACTACGGTCCCCGTCATAATGAACACAAACTGCCGCTCTCTGCCAAACAAGATAATGTACCTACAATCCTTGATGTCCATTGATACGTATCATAATACCGCCATAATCACATTACAAGAAACGTGGTTGCATGAACTGTATGATGATAATCTTACCTCACTAAAGGACTTTATTTTATTTTGTCAAAACCGTCAGTGTTGTAATAAGAAAAATGGTGGTGGCGTTGCAACTTTTATTCACTCCAAATGGTCTGTCTCAAATAACGTCTGCTTCACCTTCTCAAATGACTTCATTGACTGTATTACTGTCAAATGTCGCCCCAAATATCTCCCCAAATATAAACAAATCTATATCACAAACATGTACATTTCTCCTAGTTGCTCTCCATCTGATCTATCTAATTTTGCTGATGAATTCACCATGTTTGCTGCTGCCAACTTCGACAACTCTCTATCCGTTATTACTGGAGACTTCAACACCTCAGATTGCTCCTTTCTTGAAGCTCTTGGTCCCACAAACATGGTCAAATTTCCCACTCGACTTGACAAAACACTCGATCTAGTTTTTACTAATGACGAAGGAGTATATGAAACACGTAGACGTTCACCGATACATAACTCCGATCACTGCATTGTCCGCGTTTTGCCAAAAATATACAGCAAAACACATATTAAAATCTTCTCACACCTGTCTACGAAAGCACAACAAAGATGCTACACATCTGACAACCTACTCAATCTAAGATGCATGTTAAAAAATACTAACTGGGATTTATTCTATGAAAGTACATTAGATGACTCAATCACCAATATAACGGATTATCTTAAGTTCTGTCTCGACATATGCTGTCTTTGTTTTTTCTTTTATTCTTAAATGTATATTCTCCTTATATTATATATAATATGAGTGTTTGTTGACAGTCTGTTGCTTGGTGACATATATCCATATATGGTGGTTGTTGACATGTCTGCTATATTTCGCTATGTATATTTGGATCGACACTCCATCATAATTAGCCATTCATGTTAAGACTGTCTATTGATTTGTTCACACACATTCATATATGTTTCGCTCTCACAATTTGTGTGACTTACTTTGGTGTGATACCACTTATTGCTTCTCCTTGTGTTTGGAAAATAGAAGTATCATCGCAAACCTAGTGGTCTTCTGATTTCCGCCTTCTTGCGTCAGGACTATTAGTTTCTCGACCAGTCCATAACAATAATTTAGCGACGAGTACATAACACTGTCCTAAACAAACACTGTTCAAACACCTTGACCGCTTCTCGTCTCCCCATCTCAAACAACTTCGCAGGCAAAAAGAAATGTTATATAAATGCAAAGACAAGTTAGGACTTAAAAAGATTAATGCTCAAAGCAAATCTGAAATCAAAAATCTGAATGCTATCTATGACCAAACACTTTTATTATGCAAATCTCCTATCAGCATGTGGAAATTTTTCAATGAAATTACTGGCAATAGTAAGCGATGTAATGTTTTTATCTCTTGTGATAATAATTCTCTTAATCTGTCTTTTATACGCTCTCCTTCTACTATAACCATCTCTAACGTTACTAACCTTGTAGCTGATAACTTCCAGGACTTTAACACCCTTGATGTTTTGAAATGTCTTAAAACTCTTAAGCCCTCACATAGTCTTGGCCCTGATGGCATACCTGCATATGTTCTAAAACAATGTGCAGATGCTTTATGTTCTCCTCTAACTAATATCCTAAATGCTTCTTTCTCCGAAAACCCTGTTCCTGTTCCATGGA